AGCCCACGGTACTGCCCATCTTTTGGTGGGTTACGGTGCTTGTAATACCCAAACAGGTATTAAAGGATAACTCGTGTGTACCATTGTAACAATTCTAGATTTCAAGTCTCATCCCGTGAAAAAGGTGCTTGTAATATCCAAACAGGTATTAAAGGATAACTCGTGTGTACCATTGTAACAATTCTAGATTTCAAGTCTCATCCCGTGAAAAAAGTACGAGTAAGTTCTTAGATGATATTTGATGAACATTTTTCTTGTCAGGGTGCATTTAGGATGAATGTAAGACTAGGTAAGCAAACCTATTCTAGACAAGTCTTTCTTCTAACCACCATGTGACTGCTGCAATGTTTGCTTTCTGGTTTGTAATCTCTGAGATTTTTGGTGGCTGATATTTTACTTTAAGCTCAAGTTAGATATATGCCTCTATATTTTTTATATTGAACACAAGGACAAGAATTTCTCAAAAAGCATGAAGATCTCAGATATCCTTTAGTCTTTAGGTAGCACATATTAACTGGAATGTACGATTTGGCTATTTGAGAACCCGCATTTTCGTTAGATTCTGTTTTTCTCTACTGTAATATCATCTTCTTTCATCCGTTGTTGTAGTGTTTCTTTGCTTGTTTAGTTTATGATAAATCAAGAGACGACATTGTGAATATTGGCCAGAGCCTACTGTCTAACCCCCTCAAGTAAGTGTTTAATTATCTTATCAGCTAATTGTAAAGTTCTTGGACTGAATACTTATCATCTGAAAGAATGAGGACATGATCTTCAATAAGCATAGTTGAAGATTTATAACAAACAAGCACTAGATCTGTAAAGTTGATTCCTGGATATGATTTTGTGAACGAGTCACCAGAGTAATTACCATGGATTTGGTTGGTCTGAACTCTGAAGTTTTCTGAAACCTGAGACTTGTGAAAGCACACTGAAAATTACAGGGTTCAGAACTATTAATGATGTTGCTATCTGTTTACTTCTCATATAAAGTAGCAGTAACTGCACGTTTTTGGAATATATAATTTTATTGATTAAGCTACCGCCAACTACAATACAAGGCTTGAAAACAAGTAAAAGAGCGGAATAAAATGACAAACGATTTACGTGGTATTCCTATTCAGTGGAACAGGACTAATCCACAGAGAGCAAGCTCTCGGGTATGGTTTCACTAAGTTACAACATAAGTGGTTGTGCCATCAAAGTTACAGTGGCCGCTTGGCCAAGAACAAAATATATATACCCTGCTACAAGCAACTAGGATAAACGAAAACTCCCAAGGGTAAATAACAAAGTGGTACTATAATTAACCGAACATGATTAATTACTACCCATCTCAATACTTCCCCTCAAGCTGAAGCATTAAGATCATGAATGCCAAGCTTGGACAAAAGGAAGTGAAATTGTTCCCTGCCCAAAGCTTTAGTGAGAATGTCGTCGAGCTGAGAAGACGTGGCAATCTTACGAGGCTCAATTTCACCCGTGATTAGAGCTGTCAAAATGTAACCCGACCCGAGTAACCCGCCTGATCAACCCGACCTGCAACCCGCCCGCAACCCGATTTGACTAAAAGGCAATGACCCGCAACCCGACCAACCAGCAACCCGATCGACCCGCAACCCGATCAACCCGCAACCCGATTAACCCGTAACCCGATCAACCCGCAGCCCAACTATAATAGAAGGAATTCGATGAAGATAAACTATAAGTTGACATTTGAAATCCTAGTTCACTAAAGTCTTATCATTACATCATCAATTAACAACTTAGTATAATAATATACATCATCAACCTATTAACGCATATAACATCATAAAATATTGATTTAAATACATCATCAACCTAATAGTGCACATAACATTATAAAATATTAATTTAGCATAATAAGATAATTATAAGATTTAAAATCCAAATATCATGGTTCTATCATAAAAAGACTAATAATAGTTCACAAAAGTCTGATCATAACAAGAATTCATGACTCATAATAGTTCATATTGTCTCAAGACCTCAAATATCAATAAAACATGTCCAAAAAACAAATTGACATTTCAAATGACGATCACTCTAGAAGCTTTACTCCTTCTCCATCATCTCGCGTATCTTCATCATCGTCATCAGTACAATTAATCAGTGAAAAGAAAATAATAAGGAAAAGAGAATAGTTTGTTCAGTACAAATATAACAATTTGTTTTTTCTTACCCATTTGGTATCCTCGTATCCAATTACGAGTTGTCACAATAGCTTCACGAGTATCAGACAATTCAAGATGGTTTCCTTCCTCACTTTCCTTTATCGATACAAATATATAATCATACAAACGTCCATTTGATGATATATTCTATACCTAGTAATAGTATCAAGTCTTGGTGGTCTCCTTAATAGATCTTTACTGTATTGTGCTAGCTGCATGTAGTTACGATTTACGACTTACTAGTAATCACTAAAAAGTAACGCGATGTGTTGGTCCGTAAACCCGCAACCCGAACCGCCCGACCCGCAACCCGATTGACCCGCACCCGATTGACCCGTAACCCGATTGGCCCGTAGCCCGATTGACTCGCAGCTCGAGTGAACCGTAACCCGAGTGACACACGATTTACGTGGTATACCTTTTCAATGGAACATGACTAATCCACGGAGAGCAAGCTCTAGAGTATGGTTTCACTAAGCTACAGCATAAATGGCTGTGCAGTCAAAGTTACAGTGGTCGCTCGACGAAGAACAAAATATTTATACCCTGCCACAAGCAACTAGGGTAAACGAAAACTCCCAAGTGTAAATAACAAAGTGGTACTATAATTAACCGAAGGCCAAATTCACTTGCATAGCCAAAACTTTGACGGTTGTGACAAATATAGCCACTTTTGGAGAAATACCAGAAATAGCCAGGATTTTGAAAGTTCGATGACAAATATAGCCATTTCCGTTAAATAGTTTGACGGCGTCAATGACACCGTTAATCAAATTAACGGAACGCTTACCTGGCTGCCAACTCACCGGACACATCATTGACAACTCACCAACACCTGCCACATAGATGCCATGTCATATTTTAATTTTAAGAATATATAAAAAATCACAAATTATTATCTCATCCTCTCTCCTCTCACACCATCGCCTGCGTCTTCTACATCTCCTCCCACCGTCATCTCCCTGCAACAACCAGCGGAAAGAAAAGCAAGCATCCAACACTCAATATCCAAAAGTAGAGATTTCCCCTAACCATAGCATTCTCGATCTGCTACCCAGGCTCTCAAATAAGTAGATTTGCTCTGTTCTTCCTCACGGTTGAAACGCAAGGGAGCTGTCCCCAAATCAATAGACCTCTGTCTCGACTCTCGAGAATCATTGACCAGTGGGTTTAGCAACCGAAAACTTCTGATTCGGGAATCGTTTCTCTTCACCGCCGGCGTCATCTTGACCGAGACCAAAACCTAGAATTGGCGGTTCTGGAGGGAGAGATTCATGTTTTGGGGTTGGGGGTTCGCTGTGTTTGGGGAAAAATCGGAGATCTGCACTAGGGAAGAGAGAGAGAGCAAATAGAGGGGTCTTTCATCTGATTTGGGGCTTTTAATTGAATCGCCTCTGTTGAAGCTCAGCTATCGGAGACGAAGAGAGATGGAGATGAAGACGAGTCGTCGGCGCCTAACACGTCCCTCTCCCATGGATCCGCCGCCTCCTTCGCTTCCTAATCGGTGAAATATGATGACGACGTCGTTTGTGCGGTCGCCTTTGTGGATCGGGATGCTGGCTTTCTTGTTCCTTTTTTATGGTCGGCGGCTGCGTCTGAGCAATCTGAAGTGATGGGGATTTTGCAAGACCCGCTGACCTTGCTCTGTTGTCGATTCACATGGCTACGCCGCCAGGCCACCTCTGCGTCTCTACAATCGCTAGTGCGACGCCCGGAAAGACTGGCCGGGAAGGGAGGAAGTTTGGGCGAAACGATGACGGTGGGATATCAGTCGCCATTTAATGGGAATTGGGAAGCGAAGAGATAGAAGGTTTTCGACGGAGAGAGGGAGAGCGAGATGAGCGGCGGCTGGGTTTGGGGGATCGGAAGGGGAAAGAAAGACATAGAGGGCTGATAGAAAAAAAATTGTTTAATAATTTATTTTTATTTTTTGTATTAATTCCAGGTCATATTGGTATTGACCAAAAAGTTGACAAGTCAGCTTTTCCGTTAATCCAGTCAGCACGTTAACTAACACCGTCAAACAATTGGATGGAAGTGGCTATTTTTGGTATTTCCTCAAAAGTGGCTATATTTGGCCAAACCATCAAAGTTTTGGCTATACAAGTGTATTTGGCCTTAACCGAACATGATTAATTACACTACCCATCTCAACAAGGTTGGAACCATATGAAAATTTCGGATATAGTGCATTTGGCTCCTGAACATACCATATCCTACAGGATTAGAGTGCTAGTTATGAAAATCGAAATTTAATTATGAATCCTTGATAATACTTTTAACTATTATTTATTGCTGCTATTTATATAACTTTTGGTCATTTGCGGTAGGATTTAATTTGTTGATCCTAATCCTCATTTTGTCGACAAGGGTTCCACGTTACTATGGTCATACCTATGTGTTTGAGAGACTTTTCCACTTGACTAGAGGGGGAGTCAGTAAAACATCTAAGGTCATCAATCTCAGTTTAAGTTATTTCATTGTCTAAAAACTTGGCTTCTTGTGCTCTTCTAAACTCTTTTTGGCTCATTCATTTTCTCGAGTGTTCCTCATTTGTGCCCTGCTGGGTTTCAGTTTCACTCATGGTGCATGAAACAGTATCGGAGACCGTACCGGGAAAATCAGTGGTAGGGTATTTTATGATAAAATCGTGATTTAACCGTAGTTCAACCGTTATACCGGTAAATACCGTCTACCGGTTTAGCCTCCGATACTAGTATTTCGTGGTTGAACCGCCGCTACGGTACAGTTTCAAAGACACTTTCCACTCTCCATGAGGGGAATGTCACACAGGTACGTACACATTGGACACTCTTTTGTTTATTTCCACATGTTGTCTTGCTACTTCACCACAGTTGGTTTCTATTCGAGTACTCTGGTATTGTTGGATACACGAGTGGGATTCAACTTTCTGTATAATAAACAACTGAAATGGTTACCTTAATAGCTGCTCTACATTCTTGCAGATAACCTTGCTGCTGGCTGACTGGGTATGTCTTTATCTGATTCTAAGTCGGCTTGAAGAAGCCTGAAAAATCAGCGAGCAATCCCAGCCAACAAGCCTCTTCAGATGGCTCTTTGCTTCCCAGTCTTTCGTCCAAAATCCAAATAGGTTTTCTCATGGCACTGGCCATGCTCCAATCGAAATCTGCTTGGAAATTGCAGTTTCTTTCAAACCCATGCTCTACTCGTACAACATAAAAAACCCATCTATCATCCAACTATCATCCAAGTCAGGCCGAGGCAACGTTACTACAATGGAATGATCAACATAATCATACATTTGTACGTCCCTCCCGTATTCCTCAACAAAGTAAATCGCATTTCTTTCAAACCCGGATTTGCTTGCACAACACGAGTAACATCCCCAGCCGCCCCAGAAAAACGCACGATCGCCCAAGTCCTCCAACATCCTCCATTCCATATCGTCGAAATCCATCTTAAACACGCTTATACCTAGAACAACACTCTCCACCTGCGTATAGTGACAGTTACTAGCATAGTACTTGACGAACAGCAGGAGCTCGCCGCACGATCCCACCAGCACAGCAGTAAACCTTTCGAACCCCGGCGTACTCCTGAATTCCGGGTCCTCGACCTCAGTCCGTTCCTCAACCAAGTACTCCCCGTCTCGTCGTAATTCGATCGTGACGAATGCCCACCAGCCCCGGTACCCATACATCTTACCTTGATGAAATACAGTTCCATTGTGGGGATCTGTGCCCTGCTTTGCGTGCCTTGTCCACTCCTCATCGCCATCTCTCCAAGCCATTGCCACATCTCTATGTTCAACGCCCTCGTCTTCTTCACCGAAAGCGATCACAGCTAATTTGGAGTCGCCAGAAGGTACATGAACCACAACGTCCCTGCAGTTACCAGACGTCTCCAGTGGTGGCAGTTGGGTTTCAACCATGGATTTCAAATCCAATACAGAGCATGTATGAGCCTCATCATCCATTAACACCAGCAACCCATGTTCGGGATTGGAGTACACCTTCCTCCCACCGATTCGCAGAGCTAATTCTGCTTCCGCCATCATGCTGCTTCTTGAATTGCGGACTACCATCTTCCCCTCCTCCTGGGCTAAATTCACCACTGCCACTTCTTCATCATCGTATTCATTACTCAAAACAAGACATGGTTGCGCAATCGGTGCTTCCGGTTGCTTATTCTGCTGATACGGATGCTCACTCGGCGGCAATAAGAAACTCAAATTCCTGATGACATAATGTGGATGCATTCTTCTACTTGTGTGGTGGTGGTGGTGTTTTTTGGTTCGTCCCTTCTTGGACCAATCCAACCGCGCTCCAAGCGGGATACAGAAAACAGGGGTCAGCCAAGCATGACTCAATGGATGGCTTGTCTCGTACAAGTCATCCCAAGTATGTTCCCCGTCGTCGTCGAACGAGTGGAACTGCCCCGACGAGATCGAGTAGAAAACGTGGCGATTGCCACGAAATCTCGGGAAGTGAATAGTGTTCTCCCATTCTCTAGCTTGTCCATCTCTACACTCAACGGCCACAGAGCCTACATGGCTCAAGAAAACCATTTGATTCCCGAGGCTATGGACCATCTGCCATACTCGTGCACGCTTGTAGAATCTGAGAATTCTCACCATTTTCCCCATCGGTCCGACCACGACAGCGATCAACTCTCCCTTGCACTCCACCAAATAAGCCTCGTTGCGTGGGTCGTCCATGAAATGGCGGGGCGCAGATGTGTCAAGTATCCTCCATGTCTCATCTTTCTTCTTCTTCTTCCCCTTGGGGTTGATAACCCCTAGCCTCCCATCGCGATCCAAGCAGTAGAAAGCTCCCTTGTGAAACAGAGGGGAACAGTTGTAACGTGGCCGGGGAAATTCTACCTTCACTGCACCGGGAAATTTCTGCAAGCAGACAGCATTGGATTTGACTCTAATCGTCTTTTTCTTCTTGCTCGTGATCAACTTCTTGGTACGATGGTTGCGCAGCCTGATCGTGTTCTTAGCTCTAACGAGTTGCCAATCGGTTTGTCCTCGTCGAAGGAAAACTATCTCTGCTCCCGTGGTGCATTCTGTATCGATGAGGCCAAGGACCACACAATCAGGAGATGTCGGTGGAGCCGAAAAGCTCATCTGATTGAAGCTACCTCGGCCAAGTTGTGTATAATAAGGTAAGTTGATGGCTTGTCCCGTGGAGGGGAAGTAGAAGAAAATGCGATGTTGGCCGGAGAAAAGCAGCCATCCGTAGCCGGAGCAGGAAATACGAGCACCGGATAATTCAGCCGGTGCGTGGAGATAGTAGGTTTTGTTGTAAGCAGGGGAATAGGCTCGACAATAAATACCAGAAGAAGGAGAAGCCGATGAAGATGAAGAGTTCTTCTTCTCATTGCTCTTGGAGAAGCGCAACAAGAAAGGATACTTGGCATTTTCGTAGACTGTCCCGTCGAACTCGGCTGCAAAATTCCAGTTCCGGCATGTGAATCTGAAGTTGAAATAATCTTCCCATAACAATCTCTCGCGAATAGGGCTTATGATCTCCAATGGAAGATCAGCCCAGGCTCTTCTGTCGCTCATCTCTTGACGTCAACAGTGAACGGCTCTGTTGTTACGGTTGGCCTTTAGTTGGCTTGGCAAAGTTATATAAGGTTAATGGACTCCTTTTCCAACGTGTAATAGGAATGGAATTCCTTTCGGCAGATTCCTTCTATGAAAAGGAAATGAAGTTTATATGCAGCTTGGTCGGTTCTAATTCCCTAAGCCACTGGAAAATTTTCTTCCTTGTGCGATAAGGAAAACAGCAAAGAATCATAATTTTTGTGTTCCTCTTCTCACTACAAAGACCACGGAGGCGTACACATGTAACAGCTACAAAGCACTCATCATTTCTGCAGTCTCTTATGCAAACTCTTTCAAGATGTGAATAAAAGATTCACAGCAGAAAATGCAGGGGGGAAGCAAGAAACAACCAATCTCGAAAACAATTCCGGTTCTACTCTTCATCATCCGGTTCTACTCTTCATCATCCAATTCTTCTTCATCGTTCTTGTACGAAACAAGAGTGTTAACCTTGTGAATCTGCACCAGCCATGGTCACACAAATCAGCTTCGTATCAACCTTTCAGAGTTTAATTGTCTCTATTCAAGTCCCTTGCGCCGGTTTCAACGAATGACTCAGCCTATGAGTGAAGGAAGAAGAACACCGAACTTGAGTTTCAGAGCTTCTTACCTTGGTATCGAATGAATGAAGCTTCACCATTTGTGGGTTGGCAATCAGTTTGGCATCACTACTCTCCATCCAAGTAAAAGGGACGGCTACATCAGTATCCGTGTATGCCAAGACATCAAATACACCTGATTGGAAAAGGAATAAAACAGTAGCGGAAAGGAATTTAAGCTCAATGAACTAACTCTATATATAAGCATAATCAAGGTTAGAGATGATAAAAAAACTCATACATTGTTCGTCCAGGCATGGCAAGTAAGTAATGCTGGAAGCAATCTGGCGCATGATTGCCTGTATCTCTCTCATGATCTCTTTATCACTCTTCTCCCTTGAAACCCTGATGAAAAAAGATCCCATCATATACGCCGTCACAATCAGAACTTAAGCTCGTGAAATCCTAGGCAATGGCGTTGTTTGGCAGGAAGTCAGGAACTCACCCTTTCTCAACAACTTCGTTGTCAGTCTCGATGCTGAAATTCCACCTCTCTAGAACCTCACCAGTATTCATGCTCATTATCACTAGAACAACTCTCTGCAATTTCCCAGCTTCCAGCCATTCTGCAGAAGAAAATGCAGGATCACTAAGTCATCAATGCTCTTATTTTAGCCATTACCCAATCACACTGAAACTCTGTCAATCAGTCAAAAAAGTATTCAAATGGGATGGAGAGACAGCTTCAGTTTACTTGCAATTCATCTCCATCTCTAACCCTCAAATAGTGGGTATTCCATTTCTTTTTTAGTCAAGTTTTTCCTCCATTCTCCAGGCAACCAAACAGAAACCCCCCAGAATTGAGAAACTGAGGAACAAGCAAGATGTTACCTGACAACTGAGCATTAAGATTGGCAATAAAGGATTTAACACCTTCATCTTTAGTGAGTAACAAGGGAAGCCCATATTTCTTCACCTTGCCAAAGCTCTCTTCTGGATAAACCCCTCGATTGTACAGTATACTAACCAAAGCAAAAAAGACCCCAAAACCCCAATTTAGAAAATCAATCTACCAAAAAGCCGCAACATTAGACCAAAAAGTAAAGATCGCGAAAAAGGAACGGAAATGATGCCGCAGATTACCTGTTTGCTGCATAGCCTGAACGAATAGGGTTTCCGGAAAATCAAAACCAAAGAAAAATCAAACCATCAGCCCCCGGAAATTAGATCTCCCCCAACAGAAACCCAGAAAAGGAATCAACTCTTATGAGATTGAATCGAGGGAGTAAGAACGTTACCGAAGAACTCGCTGACAATGGCGGCGGAGCCTCTGAGCGTGATGATATCTTTTGCTGCTGTTTTGGACGCCATAACCAAAGAAACGAAGACAGAGTCTCTAATTCGAAGCTCCCGAAATCCAAAGAGAAAGAAACTTATCGATTGAGTTGGTTTTGCAGTGAGAGGGAAAATGGCGAGTAAGCGATTGTTGAGGAGAACTACGATGAGGGGATGAATAAAGGGAGAGGGCGGGGTAACGGCTAGTTTTGGCCGGCACTGTGCGGTAGTGGTGGGGTATCGGGTATGGAGTCTAGTGGAACTGTGGAAGTCGGAGCGGGGGCCTGCTTCGGGGATCGGAGCAACGGTTATGTTTCAAAAATTGCGATAATTAATTAGATTTCAACTCGAATAAGTTCAAGTATAACTATGGGTATATGAATTTTGTTTAGAAATGATCCTGATATTTTTCAATATTTTTTATATTTATTATAAAAATATAATATTTTCAAACTATTTCAGTAATATAATATCAGTATGTGTGAATGTTGGCATGTTGATTAGAGTTATAAAAAGAAAAAGCATTACCAATGGATATTCAAAGTCCAATCGATGTAGGTATAGTTCTGATTTTCTACCTGATTCTTGTGCGAGTATGAGTACGGGTAAAAACCCGAAATATTTTGGCATAACAATGGATATATATTATCAGCCCTCGACTCAACTTGTTGTGATCCTTAATTTCAAATGGGTTTAAGGTATAATATGTTCATCTACTATGTCGTTTTACCAAACATGCCCCTCTATTATTTTTTACATCAAACATGCCCTTGTACTTTAGAAAAATGATCAAACATGCCCTTCTGTTAATATTTTCATCCAAAAACAGTCAATCATGGTCGTACCTTGGTTTGGGCGACACAAATATCTAAAATATCCTTGGTAATTTTACTTTAGAATTTTTTGGGTTCTTTTGTAGAGCCAAATACTTCTAATAATTTCACTTTAACGAGAACTAGAAAAATAAAATGGGGAACAAAACTGACATTTTCGCTCTCCTTTGCCGATGTCGGGTCATCTACATATCGGTTCAACCATGGTTGGCGATTTTTTTAATGAAAATTTTAACAGAAGGGCATTTTTTATCATTTTTCCAAAGTACAAGGGCATGTTTGATGTAAAAAATAGTCTAGGGGCATGTTTGATAAAACTACATAGTAGAGGGGCATATTATACCTATAACCCATTTCAAATTTATAATGATGAGTGATGAGTCAATGTGCTCCAATTGACTCAAAATGAGACAATTTGGCAAAATTATCCTGTTTAGCTACAAAAAGTAAGAATGAGGCAATTGGACATGAGATAATTGAAATTGCTTCATTATGGGTCAATCACAATTACTTGGGTGGGAGGGAGGTAATCTACATTACTTCATTTTGTGGGTTACTTTTCCCAATCTAACCCCTTTATTTACTATTTTTTTTCTTTCTTCCTTTTCCCATGATGGAGAAGGGCAAAAGTATGAGGGCAAATATGTATTTTCAGAAAATGCATCATAGCAATTGTCTCATGCCAAATCACAAGCCAAACAAGACAATTATGTAAACATTTTCTCATACAATTAGCTCATTTTCTAAAATAAGACTTTTTGTCCCAAATTACCTCATTTTGAGAATGTTCCATCCAAACGACCCCAGAGTAATTTTGTTTTCTATAAAACTAGATTGAGATTCGATCGTTGGAGGGAAGAACTTATTGATTTAAAGAAAAGTGAAAGACTAATAATTTTGTTTGTTGACCGTTGACTACTCATAATGCAAGAGTCTGTAACATTCATAAACAATAGATATCTTGATAGTATACGAAAAAGTAAAATAATATCACAAATTTTTTTATGAGAAAATATTATATATTGATTTCTCAAGTCAACCAACTTGAAACAAATATTAGATTCCCGCCCCTACATTTCTACTAGTGTGTGTTGTATGTTGAATTTTCTATGATATGGCTAGACGTTTGGTTATCGGTTGTCGGTTAATCGACCGGTTAGATCGATAACTGGCGGTTACCGATTAACCGAAAAAGTCATCTGCGAGCGGTTGTCGATAGCTGGATTAGCTACGCCGGTTAACCGGCTAACCGAGCAACTAACCCCCTCCCCTCATTCCGTAAAACGACGCCGCCCCACCCCCACTTCCTATTTCTTAAAACCGACGAAGCCTAACCCTAATCGACGTCGCCTTCCCTTCTCTTCTCTCTGCATGGTGATGATACCCTGACTCTCACTGCCGCCTGCCCAGCCCTGAACGGCGAAGAGACGATCGTTCTCTCTTCTTCCCACTCCAGGCGGCCCCAGCGGAGCACGAGAGTGACGCCGCCGCTCTCCGCCATCTCCCTCCCCGACTCGCGCCCTTGCTGCTTCGCCATCTCCTCCCCGACGACCAGCCCACGAGCAGCCAGCAGCCGACTACCGCGACGATGAAACAGAGAGGCAGAGACGTCGTCGCCGCCAGCCCCTTGCTCCGCCAACGCGAAGTCGCCGCCAGCCATCCCCTTCGCTCCGCCGCCGCGACCTCGCCTCGGCCTCCTCTACTCGCAGCCAGCAGCCAACAGTCCTCCTCTGTCGCATGTGTGACCCCGCCATCTCCTCCTCCGACGCCATTCCTTTCCGGCAATTGTGTTGTGCGGTTAGCGCGGTTAACCGACCAACTAATCGGTAACCGACCGGTCGGTTTTCGGATAACCGAGGAGGACTGCCGGTCGGTTGTCGGTAGAGTCGACTGTCATCTCGGTTAACCGGTAGCCGACCGTTCGGTTACCGATTATAACCGAAATAACCGAAATTCCAGCCTCATTCTATGATAACACCTCATCTTCCATTTGATATGTTTAACCTTGTCTCTAGGGGTGGAAATCGGTACGGTATCGGTATCCCAATACCAAATACCGAAATCCCGAATACCGAATTACATCCTAAAATCAATTCCAATCCCAATCCCTAAATAATTTTGGTATCCCAATCCCAGTCCCTAAATATTTCGGTATCCCAATCGGTACGTCAGTATCCCAATCGGTATTATCGATATACAAAATTAATTACCTTTACAATTAATAATTAAATATATAAATTAGATTTTATTTTTTAATTTAGGTTAAAGTGACTAAGCTAAGAGTCTTGAGTTGCCTAGAGCTAACATCTCAAGTTCTGTAATTGGTCATCTTTAATTTGACGAATATTAGGTTGAGAGACGACTAATACTAGTGTGAAATAGTGATGTAATGATCTATGTATAATTAAATGACACTCTTGGTGGTTGTGGGTCGCGTAGTAGTGGATGAGAGAATCTAATTAAGAGGATAAAATAAACACTAGCTTATATTTCGGTATTGATCGGTATTTCGGTATAAACCGATCCCAATCCCGTAATCCCTAATACCGAATAACAATTAAAATTCAATCTCAATCCCAATCCCACAAAATGTTACGTGTATTCGGTAATACTAAATATAAAAAAATTTGGTACGGTATTCGGTATATACCAAATACTGGTACCAAACTTCCAGTTCTACTTGTCTCATTGCCCTGAAAAAAGATGTACAGTATAATGAGATTCCTCTTCTTTTAAAAGGTGTGTTATTATAGTACTTACCATCGTTGAATATAACTAATCTAACATTATGAGTAATTACACAAACCAACAAATGATGACTAAAGTAGCGGATTGTTTGCTTCATCGATTTGAAAAATGAAGGTTTTGATAAAAACCTGGGTTTTGGAAATTTATTAGGGTTTAGATCCATTATGGACTTTTAAAAATTCATTGTTTGTTTCATGAATTTCATTATGGATTTTGTTTTATCAAATTTGTAGATATTAAGTGAAATTGATCTTATTGCCCTTATCTATAATTTTACAACGAAAGAACTCCATATGTTATTCTTTGGGTTGGAGACTGCATTGGAAGAACTAGTGTCACTATGCCAGGGTAGATAAATACTTAACATTAATTGCAAGTTTGAATTGATCTCCATTTTAGAAAGCAAAGCATACATAAATCAATGGTGACGATTACTTGAAGGACATTCTTTTAGTAAGCAATAAACTCTTGTCAAAATTCATGAAGAATGCAAATTTATCACCAAATCCATCAACAAAACCTTCAAGCAAACGTGCCCTAAACTTCATTCTCGAATAACCATCGGTGGTGGGAAGTAGACGTTCAAAGGTAACCAAAGGAAACACATTGGGCCAAGCTTCTTCCCTTCTTTTCTCAAACTAAAAAAACCTTTGGATTCAGTTTTAGGTTCCAGAAGTCCCCTGTTGGCTCAGGAAAACCTAAAAATCAAAGTAGCCCACTGGCTCAGGAAAACCTAAAAATCACCAATTGTATTATATTAAATATCAACCATGTAAAATGCAAGGTGGAAGGCTTGAAGTTGCAGCCTCTCAGAAGAATCCATATCTAATATGGAGGGATCTCCTGAATTGCCAGGCCAGGGTGCTTCTGATTTCTCAAGAAGAAGATAATTCTTGTACATGATCAGGCCACAGCTTCCCATTGACACAGCAAATCAGCCACTGACAATGTCAGTCAAGTAAAACCACTAGAGACGAAAGCTCTCATTCTGTACAGTTGCTCCCAAGCCAGTGTCACATGTGGCAGATGACATGGCGCCAACAAGGTGACAACATGGCAGCAGCACATGTGGCATGCATGGAAGACTAGTAGCATAGAGATGCTCCTAGGATTCTCCACCATAATGTAGAGCTTTATAGTGCACTTATGAGTCACATAATGGTGACATTGATAGAGTGCATAATGGGGGGACTTAATGGGGTGTATTGATGTAGTAGAGGGACTTTATGAGGGGCATTGATGCCTTATATGTGGAGAGGCCTATATAAGGAGCCATCTCCCTCATTTGTACTCATTCCATCATTTTTGAGAGTAATACACACTAGAGAGTTCTCCCACTTCCTTTGTCTTTGTTCTTGTTCTTTGCTTTCAAGTGAGTTGAGAGAAAGGCTGCCTAGCGCTCTAACGGAATTGAGAGCTAGGGCCGCACGATCGAGAGTAAGGTCGTGACACCAGTCACTGAGTTTCTAAGCAGATCTTGTCCAAGTGAAACACACATGGCTTAACCAATTGGTCATGTAACCATTTTAGTGCACAATCTGAAGCCCCTGGAATCACAGCCACCTCCCGGGGAAGCAGCAGCTTTCACAGATTCATTACGAGTTCTGAAGCAGAAGAAGAGTAGTGCTAGCTAGCTAGTAATGCCTTCATAAAGACTGTAGAGCAGCAGGAGAACCCAGTTGGGGGAGAAAAACTACAGTCTACACATGCCCCAGATATCGATACGATTTCAAGACTAGAGCATATCCCCATCGAAGTGGGAGATAAAAGCTCTGATGGTTAGTTAGAAACAACTATTGCAAAGTCGCAGGCATATATTCTGAAGAACATGTAATCTAAATTCAGGGTCAAATCCACACAATGAATTTTGTAACAACTGGAATATAATTTCTAATGGCAGCATCAATCAAAGCTGCAAAAATGAATTGGATCAATTCTTATTCATCCACCACTCACTACCCAATCTTAAACATCAATGTGCCCTGAAACAGAAAACCCTAACTGGTGTTTGGGGGGTTGGTTCAGCGAGGATCAGAGAAGAAGCCATTGATGCCTGGCATGACTTCAGGGCGCTTGGTGCGAACGTACTTCCTCAACGCGTGTTCTTTGTACTTCTCGCCTTCCTCGTGGTTGTCAAGAATCCCAGCTGCTCTGTTCTCCTTCGTCACCCTGATTGAAAGGAAGGTAGAACCGAGTTTCAATCAATCACAAACCCACACGCAATCGCGAGAGGAAGAAATCCTGAAACATTTTTTTTTAGGGTTTAGGGTTTATCTGTCATACCTGACTTCAGGATTTCCAGTTATATTCCTGACGAGCTGCATCCCGCAAATCCCTACCGCCACACCAATAGTAGCAAACAGAGGGAACACCTACAGAAACATGATTTCTTTATCAGATCTATGGATACAAGAAAACCCTATTCCCCTAAGCAAACCTCCGTTTTTTTTTTCTTTCGTTTTTCCCTTTCAGAAATCAGTTTTCTCAGCAGCCAAATAGAGCAATCGAGAAGAAAAACAAGTAACGGGAGCGGGAGGGAGAGAGGAAGAGGGGTAGAACTTATACCTCGGGGCGAATCCATCTAGATGTGGTAGCCATTGTTAGCTTCGGTGAGAGAGTTGCAGAGAGAGATCGAGGGAGGGAGGATATGGAAAATAAAGAGAGAAGAAGCGTCTGCGGAGAAGAAGAGGAAAGTTGTGGGGTTTTTTTTTGGTAGGAGTTTGAAACGGATACGGAGTCGGGAAATTTTGGGAGAAAACTTTTCAGAAAAGGGAGGATTGGAGAGGAAGAATCCGTAACGCGGCGGGAGAGTCAGTGTTGTGCGGCCGCCCGCCAACCGAGAAGAGGGAAAGTTCTCTCTTTCAAATTCATTCCCGCGTCGACAAAAAAGGATCATTAAAATAATGGTTCAAAATTAACAACAAACGGTTTCGTGGTGTAGTTGGTTATCACGTCAGTCTAACACACTGAAGGTCTCCGGTTCGAACCCGGGCGAAGCCATTAATTATTTTTGTACTAAAAAGCTTTACTTTGCGGGCGGGCTGTGAATTTTCGGGCTTCTGCGTTTATTTATTTGGGCTTTGGCCCGTATGGGAATGAGCTACCCAACAGTGTAGATTCTTGACCATAGTAATTTTGTTTCCTTTACGAAATTTGCGGGCTGTGAGTTTTCGGGCTTCTGCGTTTATTTATTTGGGATTTGGCCCGTATGGGAATCAGCTACCCAGCAGTGTAGATTCTTGACCATAGTAATTTTTGTTTCCTTTACGAAAGTGTAACTTTTCTGATTAAAGATCAAAAAATGACGAAATCGAATTAGGAATGTCAATAGGCAAGTTGGAGGGAGTTCGGTGACAGGTCGGATAATTTATCACACGGCATGGGTCTGGGCACGTAGGCTTAATGGGTATGTAATTTATATGAAAAGTATTAGAAATATTTATTATAAAATAAAGAAACAAATCATGATATGATAAAATGTAGTTAAGTTATTGCATAATTTGAGGTTTTTACTAATTATCAACTTTATAATAGCTAAAATATGATGTGATAAAAGAAAAATTTCAAGTAATTTAACTAAGATTACGTGTAATTTAGGCAAGAACGGGTCGAGAATGTGGTAGGTCAGGACAGGTCGGGTCGATGAGAATACCAATGTCCGTCCCAAAACAGGTCAAACGGATCGGTTAATCGGGCCAGCTCGAAATTGTCATCTCTAAATCGAATAAATGAAGGGTTAGTATTTTAGTAGTGCTTTATTTATGTAAACTGCAGAAACGGATAGGATTGAGAATCCCCTCTCTTCATTTAACAGACCTGTAAAAGAAGAATAACTAAAACCTGAAATGAATCAGGAATTAAAACAAAAGGTTATTAAGGGGAGGTAGGAAAATTATCGTGGAGGTAAATCTTTGTTTAGTGTACAAACAAAGCATCTATTCATGTGTTATTGTTGAAGCTGAACAATCTGAATCGAGTAGTGTTAGTGATAAAAGGATAGGATATGGTATGGATTGCCCATCTCCCTCCTTTTGTTCATCTTATCTTTCTCTACCATTTTTGTTTTTTGTTTTTATCAATTCAAAGGGGCAGCATGATTGGTGGGGATCTGCATCTGCCTCTGCTGCCTCCCACCACTAGTCGTGCAGCCTCCCCCTCCACTTACAATTTCAACCATCATATATATAGCGACGACTTTGGTATTCACTTTTTTTTGCATTCAGTGTACTCGCTTCATAACCGTCATTTTAAACATGCGATTTATGTCAAAATGATATCAATCATCACTTATGATAGAACTCAAAATTGGAGGTCTAGGGCTTAGGGTAATTCGTTAATTAGTTGTTATCATATGTTATATCATCATATCACACTAATTCTACAAATTAAAATTCAAAATCCGACACATTAAGACTAGTTTTTGAGTTTGGTGCATTGAACGCACTCATTTTTGTGAGTGCACCGAAATAGTCACCATATATATATATATATATATATGGTTATGTATTCGGTGCACTCACTTTTTTGGGTGCATTCAATGCACCCGCCTCATAATCTTCATTCCGAGCAGGAGATTCATGTGAAAACGATGTCAATCATCACTTGTGGTATGATGAACAAGAACCACATGAATTTGTACAAAAATCATTCAAGATTCACTTTAATTTGAATGATTGAAGGTTTAGGAATTTAGGGTTAGGGTTAGGGTTTACAATTTGGGATTTTGGGTTGAGATTCAAAATTGAAGGTTAATAGGTTAGGGTAATCGGTTGATTAGTTGTGATTTTATGTTATATCATCATATTAGACTAATGCAACCCATTAAATTTCAAAATTTGATGTACTATGACCACTTTTAGAGGTGGGTGCTCTGAATGCATCCAAAAAAGTGAGTGCACCGAAGTAGCCACCATATATATATATATAATATTCTCATTCGGTATCACTATATTTTTTAGGGAGGGGCAGCTTTATTCTCTCAACCTTTCCAATTTTAAAAGATGGGCACCTCAAATGAAACTAAAACTATATATTTGCCCAAAAAACGAAATAAATCAGGCATGCATGTCGTTCATCCTTCCCTATGAATCATTCGTAACTAACTTTTTTTTGTCAAAAGATTATATATATTAATCAATCAAAAAGATAGTTACATCCTGGAAAGCAGCCAGGCCCTGAAATCAAAATAGTGAATCCCAGTCGGGTACAAAGAAAGGGCTTTTCTAGTTACCGAATGTGCTACCCTATTGTTCTCCCGACCTACAAACCGCACAGTAAACCCTGGATAGGCAGCAAAATATTGACAAATCTCGTCCAGGACTGCCCCCAAGCGATTGTCCCGCGAATCGGCCTGATTAATCTTGTCAATAATGACCTTCGCATCACCCTCGAACCGAACACCGGACAAACCCCACTCTAAACACCAAGTGATAGCCTCACGCAACACAAGCAATTCCACCACCATCGGTTCATCAATTCGTGCAAATTGCACACCTTTAGCCAGAAGGACCGTCCTTCCCGGACCACAAAGAACCATCCCGCCAGCCGAGTGTGATCCCCTCCTAGTTGCCCCATCCCACATGCAAACCAACCGAGAATCATCCATTTGGGTCCCAGGCTGGACCACCTGGCACGACACCCTTGGCTGCTGGTCAACCGGCAGACCCATCCACTCCTCAAATTGCTGGTGAAATTGGCGCATTAAAGCCGGAAGCCCAAACTGTTTGCCCTCAAAGACAACTCAGTTTCGCGATCGCCAGATCCGCCAGAGGATGGCAACCACCGCCATAAATAGCGACTGATCATGGACCAGGGCAAGCATCCGCTTCAGAAATAGTGGAAAAGTGTGCCGAGGCAAAGCCTCACCTAAATACTCCAACCCCGATAAATCCCAGAGAGCCCGCGCAACCGGGCAGTAAAGAAATAAATGTTCCATAGTCTCGGGACCATCCCAACAAACCGGACACCGGGGCAGCACAGGAACCTTCTTTTCAATGAGCGCCTCTGTGGTTGGCAGGGCTCGATTCAAAATTTGCCAGGCAAAGACTTTAAACTTGGGAGGGATCTTAGCTTCCCACAACCGGATCCAGCTTTGCCTATCCATCCAACTCACCGAGTCTCGCCACCCACCCCTCCTCCTGTCAAGCTCAACAGCCAGATGGTATGCCGTCTTAACCGAGAACACCCCATCAGCAGTGTTATGCCATATAAGTTTATCATCCACACTCCGCCTCGGATGTGGGATAGCTTTAATGGCCCGACAGACAGAAGGGTCAAACCATTGACTAAGCTTATTCTCATCCCAACGCCCTTCCCCTTGACAAATAACCTCCGCCACCAGGGGATCCCCCCATTTGGCAGGACACGAGGGTTATAGCAAGGAGGATCCAATTGAAGCCCATGAATCCATTTAGAATGTACCAGGGAGGCCGAGAGGCCATTGCCGATCTGCCATCTTAACCCTGCCTCCAAAAGCTGGCGCCCAAACAGGATACTCTGCCAACCCCAAGACGGCCTAGACCGGGCAGTAGCAGATAGAAAAGATCCGTCAGGAAAGTACTTCCCTTTATACACCTGAGCCAGGAGGGAATGCGGCTCTTGGAGAATACGCCAGCCAATCTTTGCTAAGAGAGCCTGGTTAAAATGCTCAAACCTGCGAAATCCAAGGCCCCCCTCATGCTTACTCCGACAAAGGTTCCACCAGGACACCCACCGAATCTTGGGGTGCCCCTCCTCAGCTCCCCACCAGAAGCGGGTCACATGTCTATCCAATAAACGACAAAGGGAGAGGGCCAACCGGAAACAAGACATAACATACAGGGGCAAAGCCAAAGCAATTGACTTAATTAAGGTCTCCTTGCATTCGTAACTAACTGTAATGGACAATTTGGGTAAATTTGTATGGGTATTTGAGTGGGTTATTTGCGAGTTATTTGAATAAAAATAACTTATTTTACATCATTTTATTAAAATGAGTTATTTGGACATTGAGTTATTTGAAATAATTTGTTTTACAATGTATGTTTTATCAAACGGGATACTTTAATCCAATTAACACTGAAATATCACAGATCAATTGATAAATTCTTTCTATAAAAAAACAATTAATGAGTTATTTGACTCTACAAATACCATATTGACAATTAATCCAACCAACGATCCGTAGATATTCTTATTTGGGAGAGGCATGCTATAGTTTGTTTGGTGCATGCCACTACTTTTCAGTTGACTTTAATTATTATTATTATCTAATACATGAGTCAAATATTCTTAAATTTCATCATTATTTCTGGTTATTGTCTCATTTTCTCAGTAGTTGGTGGCAGATAGGAACAACTGAAATTATTAAGAAGAAAAATCTCAGTTTGGGAGCATGGTTTGTGGCTTTGCAATAGTGATGTCAAGTATCACGCCCGTTGCGAGTTCATTTACAACTCTAATAGACTAATACTAACTACTAATAGACTAGTCACTCAATTACGGTGGCTCGTTTAGTACCTTTATTTAGATGTGCAAAACTATAATCTGGTAAATTGAAAATATTATAATAATTTTCTTAAAACGTCTAATTACGATATCGTCATCTGTTGTGAGTTTAAGGGATGTAATCAGTGGCGGAAGGAGGTAAAGGAGGAGAGGGGTCTTAGGACCCCACTTGGCAAATAATTAGGCAACAAAACCTTTTAAATACATAGGTTTTAGTACGATAATTCAAGTTTAGGACTCTATACTCTCAACAATGTTAGCTCACCAAGGACTCCGGTTAACTCAAAATTCATTAGGTATACAAACATTTATATTAGTAAATTTTTAAGGACCCCAGTAAACTCGATGTCTGGCTACGCCACTGAATGTAAATGTTTTACTAGTGAATGGCGAAGAAGGTAATTGGTCCCTTTCTGTTTATTTGTTTGTAGATGAAGAAATTGTTCTTATTTCTCAAAAGACGCAGAGGAGGAAGGAATGGTTTCCAGTCACACAAGATGGTTATCTGGTCTCAGATACAAACAAAAATTGAACCGAAAATTTTTTGTAACATCCAAATCTTTTCTCAATAAGATATTGTACGAAACAGTACTAGATTCTCACGAATTTTGTCTTGTGGTACATATCAATGTAACTTATCATAAGGTTACTAATCCTTGCAATACTCTATAGTGAGCACGTTTAACTTCAGAGTTCTTACAATAAGTTTTCTATTACACCCCAAAACGCGTCTTGTTAATTAATGTATGTTTCTTACCTATGAATCATGGATCTCTCTCCGGTTTGCCCCACCACCGGTTAAGAGGGACACAGAGAGACTCTTATACCACTTGAAACATCCTGAAACATTTTTCCGACAAGATATTGTCCTTGGGCCCAGACCCTCACTGATTTGCCTTGGGGTGC